CTAAGAATAAAAGTAATGATAGTAACATTGATTATAACAATAATAATAAAAATATATATATATATCAATAATGATAATAATAATGATAAAGATTATAATAACAATAATGATACTGATGACTATAAAAAAAATAAAAAACAATGATAGTAATAATAGTAAAAATAATAATAATAATAATAATAGTAATAACAATAATAATAATAATAATAATAATAATAGTAATAATAATAATAATAATAATAACAATATTAATAATAATAATAATAATAATAATAATAATGATAATAATAATAATAGTAATAATAATAATAATATTAATAATAATAATAATAATAATAATAATAATAATAATAATAATAATAATAATAATAATAATAATAATAATAATAATAATAATGATGATGATGATAATAATAATAATAACAATATAATTAATAATAATAATAATATTGAAAATAATAATAATAATAACAGCAATAATAATCATGATAGTAATAGCAACGATAATAATACAAATAATAATGATATTAATAATAATAATAATAATAATAATAAAAATGATCATGATCATGATAATAATAATAACAACAAAAACAATAATAATTAAGATAATAAGAATTATAATGATAATAATAACAATAATAATAATAATAATAATAATAATAATAATTGCAATAATAACAATTCTTCTTCTTCTTCTTCTTAGCGTCATCCCTATTCGGGGTCGCCGCAGCGCGTCACCTCCCTCCACTCCCTCCGGTTCTCCCAGTCTCCCTCTCCAACTCCCAGCTCCCGCATGTCCTCACTCACGCAGTCTCTCCACCTTCTCCTCGGTCTCCCTCTTCTCCTCTCTCCTGGCACCGCACCCTCCAGCATTCTTTTTCCTACGTAGCTCTCTTCCCTCCTCTTGACGTGTCCATACCATCTCAACCTCTCAGTTTTTCTCCAATTCTTCGTACTTTCGCCGTCCCTCTGATAAATCTATTCTGGATCTTGTCTTCCCGCGTCACCCCCAGTGCCCATCTCACCATTCTCATCTCTGCTGTCTCCATCTTCTCTGTCTGTTTCCTAGTCACCGCCACCGTCTCCATCCCATACAACATCGCAGGCCTAACAACGGTCTTATACACTTTTCCTTTCAACTTAGCCGACAGTTTCCTGTCACACAAAATCCCTGAGGTCCTCTTCCAGCTCAGCCAGGCTGATTGAATTCTGCTTCTTATCTCCTCCTCGCTGCCCCCATCTGCACTCACTACTGACCCGAGGTATTTGAAGTTCTCTACTTTCTTGACAGCTTCTCCTTGCAGGTAGATTGTTCCCTGTTCTGCTCCTTCTGTTGGTAGGTATTCGGTCTTCTTCCTACTCACCTTCAAACCTGCCCTCTCGAGCGCGTCTCTCCACTGTTCCAGGTCTGTCTGCAGCTCTTCCTTGCTCTCTCTGCACAGCACCACGTCGTCCGCGAACATCATGTCCCACGGGGCTTCTTTCCTCACTTCTTTTGTCAGTACGTCCATGATGATGGCAAAAAGGAACGGACTGAGCGTTGATCCCTGATGTAGACCCACTTTTACTTCAAAGTCCTCTGTCAGTCCTGCCGCGCTTCTCACTGCTGTTCTCGCTCCCTCGTACATGTCCTGGATGGCTTGCTGCACGTCCTGGCTTTGTCTGTTTCTCTGCTTGGCTATTCAGTACGCTTCATTCACTCCCTCTTTCATCTCCAGATGCTCGTACAGATCCTGGAATGCTTCACTCTTTGCTATGGCAACAGCTCTCTTCGCTTCCCTCTTTGTTATCTTGTAATTCTCCTTGCTCCCTTCATCCCTGTTAACCTCCCACTGCTTCTTCGCTTCCTTTTTGTTTTCAACCGCCACTTTTACCTCTTCATTCCACCACCACGTTTCTTGATCTTCTCTTCTGCTCTTCCCCGAACCAGTACCGAATGTTTCTCTTGCGACATCTCTGATTGTGTTGGCCACCTCCTCGTAGCCTCCATCGCCCTCCATTACTTTACTTTCCAGCACCTTGTCTCTGAAAATGTTTTGCATCTCTTGGTCCCGGAGCTTCCACTATTTTGTGCGAGGCTCCCGCTTTTCAGCTCTTCTCCACTTTGCCCACATGACCAGCCTGCTCACAACCATCCTGTGTTGTTTTGCTACACTTTCTCCAACAATGACCTCAGTGTCCCACACATTTCTCATTCTCTCTCTTCTCACAAGCACGTAGTCCACTTGCGTGCTTTTTCCTCCGCTGCTGTACGTCACTTTCTGCTGGCTCCTCTTCACAAACATGGTGTTGCTCACCATAAGCTCCCACCTTTTGGCAAAGTCCACAACCATCTGGCCTTCTGCGTTTCTTCTTCCGAACCCGTGCTTTCCCATTACCTCTTTGTCATTTGTGTTACCTTCGCCCACATGGGCATTCAGATCAGCTCCAATCACCAACCTTTCGCATCTTGGTATTTTCTCCACTGTTTCATACATGTCTGCCCAGAAAGCCTCCT